TCAAGTCTCCTTTGTGGAATTCTCTTCAGGGTGACTCTTTACCTCTGAACATCTCCCACCTCCTGTTGCCATCTTCCAATGGATTTTCTTCCTTCCAGTTTTCACCCTCCAACCCAACAACCCATTGCTAAAAGAGTTATTTCTCCCACAGAAAATTTCCATCATGTCACTGCCTAGCTTCAGTCTTTCAGTGGCTCCCTACTTCTGACAGTATGAGGTTTCCCCCCCCCCACCCAACCTTATCTTCTCCCCCTCCCCAGGCCCCACACCTCAACCCACAGTGGCTAATAGAAGCTCCCTGGACAGACCCCACACGAGGTCTGAGTGACCTTCACCCGTGACCTCCACCACACCCTCGTGTCCACATGCGTGTGGTAGTGAAGAGCCCAGGAAGCACATCAGACACCTGAGATTGGATCCTGCTCAGTAACAGGTGACCTTGGGAGCGTAACTTCATCCATCTCCTATTACCTCAGTGTCCTCTTCTATAAATGGGCACAAAGACAATAATCCTCACAGAACAGCTGTGGGGCACGAGGGACTAAACAGCAGCCACAGAATTGCCTAATTTCCTTACTACAATTTCACAGTTTACATATCCCAGTTACTTCTATTAGTGGTTTATGTGCCTCTTCCTCCAGAGCTCCTTAACCACTGACAGGTTAGACTGGGTAATCCCTGTGATGAGGCGCCACCCTGGGCACGGTAGGCCAGTGGCAGCACCCCTGGCCTCTGCCCACTCCATGTCTGCAGTTGTTATCTATCTGCAGATCCCCTCCCCATTAACAACACTGCTGGCCACCCTGAACCCCTCCAATAGCACCCCAACAGCAGCAATAGCACTACACTTTTTTTTTTTTTTTGAGCATGCATCACATGTTCGGGATTGTTCAAAGCCTTTCTCATGAATTATAAATTTGAATCCTCTCAAGACCCCAGGGTTGGGGGGGGGATTGGTGTATTTTATTGAAGAACCAGGACCACAGAGGTGTGTCTTATTTACTCTACTCCAATGCCTACTGTTACCTGTGTTACCTGAACTTCAGTGGAGTCCAGTAACAATTTAAAGAAAGTGGGAATGAATGAATGAATGAATGAATGAATGAATGAATGAATGAATGAATGAATGAGACATCACCATAACAACAATCCATCTTTCTTCACCTTTTCACCTTCCAGGAGTAATGCCCGATCCTTCTCCTCTGGAGCCCCCCATAACCCTTCAAGTGCCACAGTTCATTGGGAGCCCCCCCCCCCCCCCCCCACTCCCAGCTACGGTTCTGAGCTCTGGCTACATTTCACGGGTGCACGTGTCTGCTTAATCTGCCTGTGTGTGTTAGTGACATGGGAGCCACACTGCCCAGGATTTGTGAGGTCCAGGCGGCCCAGGCCGCCTGGAGTAGAGTAAATAACCTTGACTCTGGGACTGCTCTGTCTGCATGCCTGGAGCCTCTGAACCTTGAGCTTCCTAAAGTCTGGCAACTGCCTGCATTCTGGGAATCAGCTCTGCACGGCTGACACACAGATAAGCGTCACTGATTAATTGTCTTGGAGCAATGCAAAGCAAAGCAGCTTCCTTACCCTATGAAAACCTATCCAAACTCCCCGGCGGGCATGACTTTACTGACCTCTGGCCTATATTTGGGCTCTGGGAACACCACCCCGGGAGGTTAGAAACTTGGCCTGACCCTTCATCCTTAGCTGCACCGAGACTACCGATCCTTTCAGGAACCAATCTAGAATCTAGGCTAGCTAGAGTCCTGCCATTACCAGATAAATACTATCTATCCCACGTGTTTACTGCCGGTCACTCTCCTCAGACTCTGATGAGAAACAATAATACTCTTTTTCCCATTTAGAGCACCCCACATTGACACCCCGCCCAAGGGCTGGAGAGTTTTTACCAGTGAGCCAATGCTCCCCAGCCCCACAGTGAGGACATTTTGTCCTAGGAAGGAATCAAATTGATGAGGACAAGTCGTGATGGGTTTTGTAAACCTGCTCAGCCTATATTGTAAGAAAGACAATATTCAGTATAAATCCTGAAATCATAGCAGCTGGAGACCTTAAAGTATGCCAGGGGCAGGACTGATGTTCCTGGGGAAAGGGACAAGAAAGGGCGAAATGCTTTCCTTTGGTGAACAAGGAGCTCAATGTTCTTTGGCGGCTGAAATTTCGGAAGGTGTTTGACATACAACAAATGTGTATGGGATAGTTAAGCCTATAATGAAGCAAAACTTTCTTACAGGATGGGGAGAGCCAGGCACTTACACCCCAGTTCTGCCACTTCCACTTCCCCTGTAAATGGGCCTAATAGCACCAATTTAGTGTGGCTGGAAAGCTTAATGCTAGAAGGGGGTAAGGTGCCTAGCTCATAGATGGGACCTAAGGAAGGGTAGCTTTTTTAATTGTTAGAAATCTGGGGGCCCTCCCTGGTGGCACAGCGGGTTAAAGCACAGCACGAAGAAGCTTAAGCCACTTGCGCATGAGTTCGATCCCCGCCTGCCCCGGAGGTGACCCACAGGGAGCAGCAGACCTCTCCTGACCTGCCCGCTGCTCCCCTCAGCAGTGTACTTAATTGATCTGCCTGCTCTGCTTCCCACTCTGTCTCTGGTGAATCCTCTCACCCTCCCCATCTCTGGCCTGTACCTCAGTTCTGTATGAATAAATAAATAAATCTTTTTAAAAAAAAAAGAAATCTGAAGGCACACGCAGTTTGCATGCTCATTTTACAGAGACACTTTTGAGACGAAACCAGGGGAAAGGTCTCAATGGCAGTTGAAGAATCCAAGCCTACACTCTCCTCCAACCTGTTCTTCATTCTGGCCTCTGAGTTCTTTCAGAAAGGAAAACAGAATTCTGGATGAAGGAACAAAGGTGTAAATAGGACCAGAGAACTGGGGGCAGCACCAGGCTATAGATTTTGATATTTCAGTTCACAAATGTATCTATATTGATGGCAATAATTAGCCACAAACAATGCGTCATCCACACATGGATGCAAAGACCATAAGACCCCTCTCTTTTCCTACCAATCTCCCTGTATAAGGAAGAAAAATTCAGGCAAGACTCTAGATTAAAGTCATACCATCTTCGAAGGAAGGGATTGTATGTCTTATAACTAAAACGATCTCACAGCACATCAACACATGACAGCCTGTATACACAGCTTCATTCTAACTCAAAACTCTCCAAAGTTTTGCCTCCCTGGTAGCACAGTGGGTTAAAGCACAGCACAATGAAGCTAAAGCCACTTCAACACAAGTTCAATTCGCACATGGTGCAGCAGACCTCTCCTTTCTTGCCCGCTGCTTCCCTCAGCAGTGTACTTTGTCAATCTGCCTGTTCTATTCCCTGCTCTGTCGCTGGTGAATCCTCTCACCCCTGTACCTCTGGCTTGTACCCTGGTTCTGTATGCAGAAATAAATAAATCTTAAAAAAAAAAAAAAAAAACCTCTACGGAACTGCTCTCTTCATTTTCTACACCCTAAAGAGGCTCTCTCACCACACATTTGGTAGTATTTTCTGACAAAAGGAGAAAAAGAGACAATACTACCTAAGACAGAGTAATATGAAAATAGTGCCCTTGGATTTTAGCATTTTTAGTCTTATTTTTAAATAAAAATGATAAGGCACAGGTATGAAATCATATTTATTCTGAGAGGAAAAATACCTGTTCTGCTCCCCAGTCTCTCTGGTGAATCCTCCCAACCACCAACACCCCTGGTATACACCCCAATTCTTCTATGCAAAATTAATTAAATTTAAAAATATATATACATATGTCTGTTTATTTAAGAGTCAAGTCAGATAATCAAAACTAATTTAAAAGCACACAACTTCTGTGAAGGTAACAGGTCCTAAGTAACCTCAGAAACACCTAGTCTGTCAGAAATAAATAATCAGCCAGCCCAGTCTTGACAATCCTGGATTCTGAGGCTGCAGTAGCCCTGTGATTTAACATGAGTAACCCCAGAGCCAGAAGGTGTGAGGGGGAGCCATCTTTTTCCTGTCTCTGCCTTCCAAGTTTTACAACTCCTAGAATGATGAGACTCCCTTGTATCCATAATGCCACGTCCTTCCCCCAGGACCTACCTTTCGGGGTTTCAGGTTGGGGGCCTAGGGCAGGAAATCAGCTTCAGTCACAGAGGCTGCCATCTTTCCTGGCTTTCCAGGTGAAGCCTCCAACTGGGCCCCAGACACTTGCCCTCCCTCCTTATGGACTCAGATCTCTCTGCCCAGCAAGGACTCTCAGGCTTCCTGATCACATCCTGCCATCACACCACCTTGGGGGGCTCTCCTTCTCCCAGTCCTTCCCAGTCGCAATTCACCCCTGCCGAGCCCACCACACCCTGCTTTCAAGCCTTGTTCTCTGGGTTGGAGCCTCCATTCTCGGCCTCTGTTTTCCTACAGATCCTGTTTCTGTAATATCCCAGGTAGGTGAGGGCCTCAGCACCATGCCTGACACGCTAATGTTGAAACACATCAGCCTTGTATATTTCTAGCATCTTCATTATCTCATCCCCATTACTCGACCTAAACATCTCTCCCAAGCCACCAGCACACTCCTCTGGCCTCATCTGGTGGCCTTTACTCAACTTCATTCTCGTGGACCTGGGCAGGTTAATACAGCCCGGATTATTACAGTTCTCTCTGTGACGTCTAGGCCTCCCTCTCTGCCCAGACTACAGAACAGGAAGTTCACCAGCACACACTGGGGGACTCGAATTTGAAACTCCAAAGCCCCGACCACCACATCCAAGAACCCTGACACAGATCCTGGCCAGCCCCCTCGCGGGCCACTGCACGCGCTCCAGCTGGCCCCGGCCTCACTCCCAGCCTCCTTAAGGGCTCCAACACCCCCTCCCCACCCACAGAGGACCTCCCTGCCCATCCAAAGATGGCATAAGGGACGGAAGCCAGAAAGCAAGCCAGAAAGAGCAGACCGAGCCTGTCCGCTCCACCCACCGACAGGCCATGATCCCTCACTCCCCGCTCACCTGGATCAAGGTCTCCAGCTCCTGGGGGCTCACACACACATGGTCCCGCAGGAATTCTGCCTTCTCCAGGGCAATGGTGTTCTTCTGGCTGCTCTCAAAGGGCTGTTCCAGCGCTCGGAAGACCAGGCCACCGGTGACCAGGTAGACCACCACAACCACAAAGATGGCCACCACCGTTTTCCACTTCATGACGGTCTGCAGGCCCCCTTGGGAGGCGCCTTCCATCCTGGCTACCACCGTGGCTCGGGAGGAGATGGAGAGGCGTGGGGCCGGGTAGTGCCCGTTACTGGTGCCCTTGGACTGGCACACCGGGGGCGCGGCTGCAGGAACGGCCACTGAGAAAAGGGGAAGGGAGGGGCAGAGAGAGTTTGTTTATAAATACGAAACACAGAACCTGAGAGAAACAAAGCACAGATGTCTTGCTCCAGCCAGCTTTCACATGGGAGGATTAAAAACGGTGCAGTCCAGGAACTTGCTCAGTTGCTAGGTGCCTGTTTGAGGTCTACAAAAATGAGCACCCGCGGTGCTAGATTGATTTTTTAAGAATTAATTGAATTTGAAATGCTTATATGCTACCGCCGTCCAATTTGAAAAGCAGTGTCTCTGCTATTGTCATTCATCTCCTCCCTCCGTGCCCCCCCACCAGCCCCCGTTTGAGCAAAGTGGACAAGATATGACAAATCACTATATCTGGTCAAAGGTATATAGTTCAGTCTGGAGGAATAAAGAGGGAGAGCCAGCCATTCGGTCCAAGACCCGGGGGCTCAGTGACACCATGAGCTGTGCAGACGTGAGCATTCCCCAGTCTCTCTGGTGAATCCTCCCAACCACCCACACCCCTGGTATACACCCCAGTTCTTCTATGCAAAATTAATTAAATTAAAATTAAATTTAAAAAAAGTCAAAGTCCCTTTTATCCAGGGCTGCAGGTCTAAAAGAAAGGAAGGCTGAGCAAGCTCAAAGAGACAGACCCAGAAATCAGACACACAAGGTAAAGGAAGTTTGAGTTAAATGAAAGAAAAGTAACCAAAAGCAGCCCAGGAAACATTAAGATGACTTGTTCCAGTTAACCTGATGACCTAAAAAAAAAAAAAGTGTATCCTAGATGTATTCTGCAGGAGAAAAGTTGATGACAATGTAATTGCTCCTGATCTATTAGTAAGAGAGTGTGTCTACTTTGTTCCAAAGAAAGGAAATTTCCCCTGCTCTTCAGAACAGATCGAATTCTCAATGGTCAATGTTCTCCGTTCGGGTAATTACATTACCAGGCAAATAAATATGCTAAGCTGGAGACTTCCCTGCAAAGACAATAAGTCCAGGGCAGGATGGCGCTGGTTACGCTATCAAACATTTCGAAAATCTGTCTTAGGCAGCAGTGAACAGTCAGTGCACTTCGATTTTGCTCTCCCTTTATTATTCGAATTCATATTATGGCCTCTGCCACAGTGTAGCCGGGCTGTTGTGGAAATAAGGAGTTAGGAGATGACAAACTTAGTTATCGGAGTGGGGGCAAAAGGCTTCTCACACGAGAGCTACTTCACTGTTCAGTCTCCACCTTAGGGGGTGCGGGGTAGATAAAAGCCCAGGAATGTCACCAATGACCGGGGCCACCCCTGGCTGGAGGGCAGCCACCTAGAGAAACTAGGTTTGTGTCTTAACTCATGGAGTCCCAAAACCAGATCGTTCTCTTTGGAAGTCAAGCTGAACATCAACCTTTTATTGTATACTTTTCTATCAAATAAAATCATCCGACGTTACATTTCCTTCTGACTTACAGAAACAGAACATTCTCTGGAATCTCAGATTGAAAGATGTTGAGAATTAGAGCCGGCGGGCAGGTCACTGTGTTCTGGCCATCCCTTCTATTCCACCTCCTGCCTGCCCTGGCTGATGCTCAGGTGGGGGAGCTTGTCCAGAAGGCTTTCATCCAGGCTTGCCCAAATCTGCCACTCCTTCAACTCCTCCCTGTGTCTCGGCCCCCCACCCCCCACCCCCGTGCCTCTCAATGTCCCCAAAGCCACCAGCCTCATTGGACCAATATTACTTCTTGCCTGGACCAATCCAGCAGCCTCCTGCTTCTGCTTTCCCTCAAATTCTGACCCATGCACTGCTGAAAGCATCTCTTCCCCTTCTCTCCCGCTTCGTCTGTGGTCAGGGAAACAATGCCCCCCAACTATGTCCACACCCTCGTCCCTGGGACCCAAGGATTTGTTAACATGCATGACAGAAGATGCTGTTCAGTTAGGGGCCTTGAGATGAGAGGCCTGACCGGGATGACCTGTGTAGGCCCAAGACAACTGCAAACACCCCAGGAGAGGCAGGCGGAAGGCTCACAGAGAGGAGGCCTGGGAGAGACACAGAGGTCAGAGCAAAGTTGCCACGGGCCAAGATGGGCAGTCAGCCTCTAGAAACTAAAAAAGCAAGGAGCAGATTTCTTCTCTAGCAGCTCCAGAAGGATCGCCCCTACCTACATCTTGATTTCAAACAGGGAGGTTAATTTAGAACTTCTAGCCTCCAGAATCAAACGGTAGAAATGGTGTAACTGTGGCAGTCAGTTGTGGCAATGTGTTACAGCATCAAGAGAAAACCACACACACACACACACACACGAGGTCCCCCTTGCGTGCGGCAGCCCTCACCACACTGTACCACTAAAAAAAGGCTGATTACTTCTCGTCTAGCTCTTTCTTTCGGCTCAGGCCCCACGCCCCCTGCCCTCCCCTCTCTATCCTGTGCCCTGCACAGAGCCTGGCACTCAGTAGCTGGCCAGACAAGGATGGCTGAGCAGGTGAATGAAGAGAAAAGGGAAGAAGGCCCATTGGCACGTCCTAACGACACAGTCTGTGTGGACAAGCAGCGTCCAGGAGAAACGCCTGATTCCAGTGACACAGAGCAGCAGGTCCTCCAGCCCAGCATGCTCCATCCCGCAGACCCAGTTCCGCAGAGACCCCCTCAGCCAGTTGTCTCGTCCCCATCCTCATCTGCCTGGGAGATTCTCAACTCCTCAGTCTCAGCTCAGAGCTGCCTCCTCCATGAAGCCTTCCTGGGCTCCCCAGGCACACGAGCATGCCCATCTCCTCCCCGGCCTTGGTGCTCAAAAGCTTGCCTTTTAGTCACTGGGTTTCCATTTCATGGCACAGGGCCTGGCACGGAGCAAATGACTGTCCTGGTTTTGTTGTCATTGTTGATGAGGATGAGGATTCCTTCAACAAGAATGAAAGCCCCATCAGAATCACCACCTCCTTCAATAAACAAGCATGTACTTAACACCAGATGGCTTGAGGGGCTGTGTGGGGGTGTGATAAATCACTGAGTCATGGTCCCTCCAGGCTTCGGGGACTGACATGTCACACTGGGAAGATGTGTCAGAGCACCAGGTAGCAAAAGTCCGGTAGAAGGCTCCCAGGGTGTGAAGAAGGGGTGGCATCGGGCACAGAGGTCAGTGAGCTGGGAGCCTTCACAACCCACATCCTGGGCAGAGCCAGGCACGGGTGTCCCTGAGGCTGGGCTGATTGGGACTTGAGAAAGGTCTTTTCGGGCTGGTTCCTGGGCCTGTTTGCCAGGAGACTGTCGCGGGGAGCTGACTCTGAACAGAATCCTGAGCTTCCAAAGCACCAGGAGCAAAACCCAGAGCTTCAGTTCCAACCCATCAGTGGCTGGGTGACCTTGAACCTGTCCCCGGGTTTCCCTGTTTCCTTATCTGTGAAATGTGAACAATCACAGCCACTTTTTTTTTTTTTTCTAATGGCACAGGGTTGTCGGGAACAGCAAATACGCTGCTCTGGATTACTGGCTGGAACATTCCCAGATGTCAGCAGTGCAGGCAGCGACCACAGCCGTCCTGCACCATCGGGGTATTTCACAAAAACCAGAGTTGGTTTAGCAAAGATGACTGCTCGTTTCAGTGGATGAGAAAGCATCTGGCTTGTGCCTTTCCTTCGACTTGGATCCATCTTTCAAGGGTGTTTTAATTCAGCCATTCTCCTCGGGAACCATTACTCCTCCTGTTCCCAGACTAAGTTGCCCCCAGAGGTCTCGGTCTGGAGGCAACAAGGAGTAAAACTGGCCGAAGTCAACGGCAGTGATAGGAAGACAGGTCCTCGCACTCGGCTACCACGTACTTTGTGCCGGTCACTCTGCTGAGCGCTTTGCTTTCACAGATGCCCTGGGTCTTCAGTGCCAGGGATCATCGCCTGGGAGAGACCAGTGCTGCCAGAGTGGAGGCCATGAGGGCTTGAGGGGCTCGTGGGTCTTCGTAGGGGAAACACGTGTGGGAGAAAATCTGAGCAAGCCGGTGGTGGTGTGAAGACAGCCATCAGCCCTGGGAGTCTAACCCTCAGGAAGAACAGAGATGGGGGTGAGCACCTGAGACCACCGAGGCCCAAGAACCTTCAGTGAGGCCTCCAAGGAGCTGTGTCGACCAACTGACGAGTCCCGGTTCTCCCCGGAAGAGGCGCGTGTAGCTTCCTGCCATAGTCAGGCCCTGGCTGGGAGCTGCCCATGGCAGATGTGCCCAGATGCCAGCCCATGGAGGGGTTCAGGGCAAAGCAGAAGGCCTGTGGGGTGCATGCGTGTTTGTGTGTGTTTGCTGTGTATTCATATGTGTTCGTGTGTGTGCTCACACATAAAGAAACTGAAGTCCAGGGAGGTCAAATGACTAAGCCAAGTTCAGAAAGTGGTGGAGCCAGGATTTTAAAAAGTCAGAACAGGGCCTGCCTGGTGGTACAGTGGGTTAAAGCTCAGCACTGCAAGCTAGAGGCAGGCGCTTTGGCTCGAGTTCAATCCCCAGCCCCAGAGGTGACCCACATGGCACAGCAGACCTCTCCTGACCCGCCTGCTGCTCCCCTCAGCAGGGCACTTCATCAATCTGCCTGTTCTGCTCCCCACTCTGTCTCTGGTGAATCCTCTCACCAGTGCTGCACCTCTGGCCTGTACTCCAGTTCTGTATGCATAAATACATGAATCTTTGAAGGAAAAAAAAAAGTCAGAACAATCTGACTTCAAAGTCAGTTCTGTAGAAACAGAAAAATAAGAAGAAAGAAATTACAGGTGGAAAAGACCCTTTCATCCAACAAGCAGGAGGCGATTTGTTTCAGACAGACTTAACATACTTTCCTGAGATGGACAACTTTGGTGCCCCAGAGGTGTTGGAGTTTTTCCCTCTATAATGGTCGGTAGCGATTGGGTCACATCAGTAAAGGTCTACCCTACTTTCACAGATCCATCAGAAAAGGATTTGGTAACAAATGCATTGCCAAGAATTGATGCAAAAAAAGATGTTCGAAAACAATAGCTTTCCACTAATTCCCACTTTTATGTGGAACGTGGGTGGGCA